GCGCGTCCCGCTCCCGGGCGCCCCTTCCCCGCGGCGGCCCCCGCTCCTCGCCCCGCTCCGGCCGCCTCACGAGGGCCCGCGGGCTCCGGGCGTCAGCGCCGGGCGGCCAGCGCGCCGCGAGGGCAACGGGCGGCCCCGTTGGGGGGCGAAAATGGCGATTGCGGGGGCCGCGCGTCGGGCCCGGCTGCGCGCGAGCCTCCCCCGGCAGCCCCCGAGGCCCCGCTGCGGTTATCGCTGTTTGTTGTCCCGCAGAGCGGCTCTATCTGCGGCTCGGGAAAATATTTATCCCAKCGGGGCAGATAGCGAGGCCCGGGCGGCCGCGGGGTGGATGTGCCCGGCCTCGCCTGGGGCTCCCAAGCAAGAGCYGCAGCCCACGGGCAGGACGGGGCCCTTGGCGAGCGGTGCGCGGGCCCGGGGAGAYGCCGGGGAGCAAGGGAAGGGAGCAGGGGGCACCCCAACGGGGAGAGCCCTGTCACCTGTGGGCTTGGAAGGCCTTGGGCTTCGTTCCCTGGGCTGGACGTGCTGCTTGTTCCCGTCCCTTTCACATCATGTGTTTTTATTGAGTTGCGYCTTTACTTTTGTCGTGTTGGCCATAAATGGAGCCCTCGTCGGTTCCGTATTCAACGCGACACCAACAGCGTCCCCGGGCTGCGGGGGAGACACGGGCGGTGTCCCCCGTGGCGCTTTAGGAGGGGTCTCGCTTGGTGTGAGGCTGATCTGGGGTTAGAGCAGAGCCCGTGAGGAGCAGCCCGGCTCGTGGCTTCACTCTGGGGAGCGCAAGCTGCCCAGGCGGTGCCTCGCACACGGCCTCAGCGAGGTTATTGCACCGACCGCCAGGAAAGGAGCCCTCGGAGGCGTCCCGAGATAAGGGAGACGCCGTGACACCTCCCAACGACCGCCCGGGCGTTGGAAACCCACGAGTCCCAACTGCGGCGGCTGCCGTGAGCAGCGGCCACCGAGGCAGCGTCCCACGGAAACGTGGTTTGAGGCGAGCTAGGCTCTGGAATTAACTCTTGACCGGGCTTTTCCTTTGAATCCTGGCAGACCTTTGTGGATTTAGTGAGCAGTTGTGCCTTGCCCTCTGGAACACCCACCAGTGCAGCAGGGAGCATCAATGCCGTCCGCTCGCAGCAACCACAGTCTTGCAAACCACCGGGGTCCTTCTCAGGGCCCTTCCCCATCACGTTTCCCTTGGTGGCCCTGCCAGTGGCTTGGCTGTCCTGAGAAGCCAGCAGGAAACACTGCTGCTTTGCGGGACACCCACCGACCCCCGCACGCAGCAGGGACACGGCTGCACGGTGGCCGATCCCTGCTTAGCACGAGGGCTCGAATGCACTTGAGGCTTCTCGTGGTCTGCGACGGCTCCGTATTCCTCTCGGCGAGCAGAACTTTCTGTTCCCAGCAAGTGGAGAACTGCTCTGGCATAAACAAGACGCAACATGCGTTTGTGCGCAATTCTCCGGGGCCCGGTTATGCAGATCGCCTGCAAAGGAGCAGCAGCTTAAAAACTGGAGCCTCGTTGAGTGCTTTAGCTGGATGGGCTTCCCTAGGCAAAGTTAAATTGACCTCTTATCTTTTGCTGGTAGAACAGAGGCAATCATCACTTAACAGCTTGCTCATCCCCTACTATTTTGGTTGATATTAATAAGAGCAAAAGGCAGGTAGGAGTTGGACGGTGGAAAGGCCTGTCTGATGACTGTCTTGCATGGCACAGGACCGTCAGAGTGGGTACATTTGCTTCAGGGGCTTGGGCTTCATGAAAATCAGTGAAATTATTACTTTTGTTCATAAAATAATAGAAAGGCTCCTCACTAGGTGAGGCAAAGTGTGCCAGCAAACTAAGGTACAGAAAATTAACAAGCTTCCCCTATGCGAGTTTCAAATGAAGGGCCTTCCTCCTGCTGCGGACATTAAATTGTATTTCACAACCGATGGTGATACCRAATCAGCTTGAAAGAACAGTAATTAAATGTCTGTGTTTCTTGTGGCATTGATTTTTTCGTAGAACAGTTTGAGCCTGTTCCATAAGTAATGCATAATGGCATTCCTAAAAAGCATTTTATAGACCTGAAATGTTAACTTTACCATTAAATTTGTGGAAGACGGCCCAGTTTAGACTGCATTAATCGTCGTTCTTCAGTAGTGGTTTTAGAACTTGAGCATATTTGCCCGAGCAGAGCACACAAGGAAGTTCAGTGTGGGGCTTGCAGCTGCCTGCTCCAGATGTGCAGTGCAGAGCTCTACGGCTCGTAAGGATCCGTATTTTTTTCYTCTCCTGTTAACTTTGGCTGCTTCTCAGTGAATATTGTGCTGTCACTTTAGCCCCTGCTTTTTGCCTGCACCATCTGGGTGTACATATGTCCGAGACCCCTTGGGAAAAGGTGGAAAATGGATCTTCTGCAGCTCATCTTGGGGGTTAAAGAGCAAACGTTTGCTTGGTGCGTGCTGCCCTTGCCCTCGGGACGAATGGTAGTGCAGGCAAACTGGCCGCCAACKCTAAATGGACATACTTAGCACTGAGTTTCATATAAATATTCAGTAAACTATCTTCTATTTTTCAGATTTTCAGGATGAATCTGGAAAAACTCAGCAAACCAGAACTACTGACGCTGTTTAGCATTCTTGAGGGAGAATTAGAAGCAAGAGATCTTGTCATAGAAGCCTTGAAGGTATGTTGTCATTTTTGTTTCCATGGTGCTTAAAACAGAACTGCTGTAGGTTCTGCAAAATACTTGCATCCAAGGTAAAGTTCAGAGGCAAAGATTTATTAGTGTCAGAATTCCATCTTAATATCAGCAGTGTCAGATAATGAATGCTCTGTATCACTTTACATGTTGGAATTCGTTATTGAAAGCTGGTTTCAAGAAGAACATTTCAGTGTTTAGAGGCAGCCCTCCGTGCTCGTAGCATTAACCCCTTGCGTCCCTGGCTGCCACAGCTTGTCSCTTCATCCTTTCTGATAAAGGACTGAGCGTTTATGTTGCTCTGAGAAATGAAAAGGGTCGGTCAGGCTCAGTTTGGTTGTGCTCGTTAGCAAGGAGGCCTTTTTAAAGCAGAATGTCTCCTCAGCAGGAGGGATCAGATTAGTCTTTTGCTGAGAATAACGTTACTCTAAAAAAAGCATCCGTGGCTTTCTGTCATACTAAGCCAATATAATCTGGCACGCTTGCTGAGGGAAGCAGACCTGTGACCTGCTACTTATTTTTTTTTCCTTTTTGCTGGCACAAGCATTAATGTAACCTTGCAATGAACTAGCCTTGGAACTGCTACCAGCAAAAACGAGCGCAGCAAGGAGATGGTTTCAGGCTGATCGGGTCCCCTGCGTGGGTGACAGTGGGTGACACTAGTGCAAAGGGACGGGACAGGCTGGGAGCCCTCGTGGGGCTAGTGCTGAATGAGACATGGCCCATGCGAGGCTGCTCTTGGAGTCGGGAAGAACCCTTAGGAAAAACATCCTTTTGTTCAGTAATTTTCTTGTTCCTTGTTTTTTGTACCTGGTGATTGAAGGCCTGTTGTGTCCCTGGCCACGTGTTGATGGTCAGGAGCAATAGCGCATGTGCAGGTTTTGGTTGCTCGCCTGGATTGGATTTCATCCTTCCAGGATCAGGATTTTCTGGTTGCARTGAACCTCTGGGAGACGACCGCGGCGCTTGATAGCAGCTGAGGGAATGATGCTCATCAGCTTCCTAAACTTCATGTGTTTTTAATCACACACTGCGATTTGCACAGGCTTCCAGCTTGTTTCTGAATGCTGAAGAAGCTAATTGTAATCTGCAAAATCACTTGTGTGTTGGTCTTGCCTCTGAGATTGGGCCTTTGTTCGGGCCCTGACAGCAGCGATTATGTGAACGCAGCGATGATCTCACATCCCAAACGGGCTTCCCTTTGTCACTGCAGCCAGATCTGTTGCTCTGCGGGTGCACTGACATGGGGCTGTCTGAGGCACCTTCTGAAGGGCATAATGACACCCCTGTCCTGCTGCATGTAGTGAAGGGAAAGTGTCTTTAGGAGAATTGTTAAGGTGTTTTTCGAATGTTCATCCACTAGGAATTCGCTGTATTGCTCGCTCGGGTTTATAGTTTGRTGTGCACAAATCCTCTTCTGGGCTGAGCGAATATTCTAGATGTTGGTCCACTTTTTTTAATAGCCAGTTTCAGTATGTTGAAGCAGTACTGTATTTTTCCTCTGCTTTCAGTCTTGAGAATGGGGGCAACTAAACTGTCCAAGTGGTGTACTAAAAGTCTTATTTCTTAGACTAGATATTTAGAGTAGACTTGCCATTTTCTTGGCTACCTTGAAATCATTCTTATTTTGATATTGCATTCTCATGACATAGAAATACCTAGTTTTGATATTGCAATCTGAAATATGTAAATACCTAAGTACAGAGCTTGAAGGAAAAGAATACAATTGCAGAATGCAGCTTTTTAATGCATACCTGTGAATAATGCAGTGCTATTATCTTCTCAGTTGAAATTTAACCTATGGCTCCCTCCGGCGTGAAGAATGTAATGCAATTAAATACCCTTTTAACATAACTTGTCAGGTACACGTAGCTGAGAGGAAATTAAATGAAATTAAATGAAACTGTGACCTCTGCTGGGTCACCATCCAGAATGAAACAGTTAATGCAAGGTTGGCGCTTTCCTGTGCTTTGTGGCAGATGCACCAATGTCTCCTTCCAACCAGAGCTGGTTCTGGCTCCACACACCCTTGCTACCAAATCAGCACCTCCAGGACAAGGCGATTTCTCCCCGCTGGTTGTTTCGGGTCTCAGCATGGTAGCTGTCCCAGCTGCGTCCTGTTGTTCTCGTCCAAAGCCAGGCTTTGGCAGCGCTGCCACCCAGTCCGCGCTGGCACCGCGGCCCTTTGGGCGCTGCATTTGTTGAAGCCACACACTCAGGCGTAGCCGCCTGCTCCAGTAGCTGCAGAGCTGCGTGGAGGAAGCCCTCAGCCCTGCCCTCCTGTATATTTAGAATCTGCACGCAGGGAAATCCAAGCCCCATTGTGCTTTTCCCTCTGTTTACTAACAGTAACTGTGGAAACCGTTTTACAGTCCTTCACCCACTGAAACATTCCCAGCGTGAGAGGTAGTTAAAGGAAAACAGGCTAATCTGTGCGCTGCTATCCTGAGAAATACAGAGCACTGTGATAAATACAAAAATCTAGCCAAAAGGAGCTGGATTTGTGTCCATGGGACAAAGGAAATGTAACCTCTGYGGAGAGACCAGCCATGCAGGGCTGCAAGGAGCACCTGGGGTCTGGRCTCCCTGTCTTCGTTTGAGAACTTGCAACCCAACTTTAGTACAGTCTGCAGTCACTCCTGCCAGCCTAGAAAATCTGGCATTTAGCAGAGAGAATCCATGCATGCAGAGGACAAACCCTAAAATAGTTCCCTTCTCCCTGCTGATATCAGGCCACTTGTTTGCTGGCTCCAGCCCCGTTCTCAGTGTCAAACCAAGCGGTGACAGYGGCTTTTCAGGGGCTGCTTGCTTAGTTGGCTGCTTTGTCTTCTCCTCTTCAGCTCCCCTCCACAAAGCTTTGCTCTCTGCAAAACCCCGTGTGCTCCTCAGAACGTGCCTCAAATCTCACCTCTTGTTGGGCTCCTTTTTGGGCAGTTTTAATYGGTTTAATTCATGCCAGACCAGGGGCTGTCAGGCTTAGGTAAGTATGGCTGAGGGCTAGGTAGGCTGTCAGTCCTCCCTGCCGTGTGGAAAGGGCTGCATGTGTGAACTACAAATTAGTCCTCCGAATTGCTCACCATGGCTGAAAGCAACTCGGTATTTAATAAATCTCTCCTGGCGCATTAGCGCACTTCGTTCCCTCCCTCCCCCTGACTTTTTTAATCAGAATTCCCCAGTAAACAGAAGTTCTGTTTACTTTTAGAGAACAGGAAACAACTTTCTGACTTGTTTCTTCAGCGCTAAGGCTTTCGCCAGCTTCTCGTGCAGTGTAAATTGCCTGTTTTGCATTGATGGCTGCGAGCTGGCTATTCATTGCTTTAGTTCTGCATTCAGCAAGCCGCTCTATAAAGCAGCATTAATGTGCTGCAAAGCTAAGTGTTCGTTTGTCGGTAGGCTTGGAGATTAATTTACGGTGCAGTCCCTAAAACAAAAATCTACCTCTTGTTTAAATAAAAAAAACCCTTCGGTAATATAAAACCTTACTACAGATGCTAGTAAATCTTTCACAGATGGGGCTTTTTGCCTGGCTTACAAAGCAGCTTAGGTCTAGCAGGGCTCCGGTGTGCGTTGCCCTTCTGGAATGCAGYTTCTCTTAGTGCCTCTCTTTGGGGCGGGGGGGGGGCACTTATTTGCTTTTGTTCTCCGATATTTTTAGCTTCTCCGGTCCCTCCCAGCAGCCAGAGAGGCTCTGAACACGGAAGAGAAATGTGGGAAGGGCTCCAGGTTTGCATCGGCGCCCGGGCACCCTTGGGTGCAGCGTGAGCGGAGGGCAGCGCGCGGCCGGGAGCCGGCAGAGCCTCCCGGGAAAGGAGCCCCTTGGCTGCACGTGGTTGAGGAGCATTTCTTAACCCTGGAGGATGCAGCAGCAGTTACGTGCGCTCGTCCGGGCCGCTCTTGTTTACCTGGCCCGTCCTGGTCCGCGTTGGAAACGGATCCGGCGATTGCCGGAGTTGCTGCTGGGTGGTGGCTGCAGCTCTGGAGCTGAAGCTCCCGCGAGAGCYGCCCGCGCTCGGCCTTTGCACCCGCTCCCACCCGTCTCCTCCCGTGTCCGTCGGTGATTTCCGTGGCCCCAGCTCGTCTCAATGTCCAAAATCTCTCTCTGGGGAAGGAGCTAATAAGGAAGTTCAAGGCAGCTATTTAAAGATTAGACCATTCTCTGCAGACCTCCTCCAAAGGAGGAACTTCTGTGCAGATTCCTGCTGGAGAAGTGTGTGCGCAAGCAACGACACAGCGCCCAGGATGAAAATATTTTATGTAATTTATAGGCAAGAGCAATATTCCACTTTGTGTCCAAAAATCACTTAAAATGAGCCCTGGAAATTCCTGCTATTTGATGTTCCAGTAAAACAAGTTGTAAAGATTATTGAAGGCGAAGAGAAAATACTGTCTCATAAACAAGCTTTCAATAAAAGGAAATCTTTAAAAAAATAAAAAGCAGATTATGGAAAACACTCAGCCCAAAACAGTCCAGAATTCCCTGGAGAAAACAGTAGCTTTTTCCTGACCGAGCAGACCCTTTGCCTTGCGCGTCTGCACAGGAAACATCTTTTCAGTTGCTTCAGATATTGCTTCTACTCCATAAAATCAGGATTATCCTTTTTCAAAACAGACTAGCAGAGGTCAATTACCCTAATTTGAACTAAAAGGCAGCCAATTTGGAGCATTACCCCTTGCACACGCTGAACTCTTTTGATTGGAGGTTTTAGCAGTAGTTGCCCTCATGCATTGCTCTTTCCCTTGATTTTTTTTTTTTTTTTTTTAAGATGGATTTAAATCCAAAGGATTTTAATCCCTTTTCCTTCTGGGACAAGGGAATAAAATAACCCCCCAGTTCTCACCAGGAATTCCCCAGGGCGCTTCTGCCGGGTTTAATTCCGGAGGAGGGCGGCTGCTGCGCCCGGCCGGACCCGCACACCCCGTGCACGGCGGCCAAAGCAGTGGCCTTGTTTCCACAAACGAGGTGCAGCCTGTCCAGGGAGATCTGTTTAAGAGTTTTCTTGTAGTCTAAACGACTTTTAATTAAATGTTTATGCTTTGCTGGCTGCTGGAGGAGAAGAGCTGGACTTCGGAAAGCTCTTAATGTTGTGATAGTCTCATCTGTTCGTCATGCTAGCTCAGGGAAATACTTAATTGCTCATAGTAGCAAGGAAGAACTTCTTGTTCTTTCCCAGACAGGAAACAAGCCACCCCCAGCTAAATGCAGCACCACTGGAGCCCGTCGCCGACCTGGAGCAGGGGCAGAACATGCCTGGTTCGCGCTTCCATGCTCGCAGAAATCGGGGTTTCTGTGGTGTGAGTGACCTCAACTGATGCMTTCCAATTCCTCAACCTTTTTACTAGCAAGAAGTGGTCCAGAAGCGAACTTCTGGGTGTCCTCGTGTTTGCTTGCACTGCTGGAAGCACCGAGACCGGCCTGAAGAGTTTCTGTCCTGTGGTTGTAGAGAGTAACCACTACAGAGCTGGGCTCTGCCGAGGGGAGAAAAACAGCTYGTCTGGCGGAGCAGTTGAGCCAGCTGGATGGACTTTCCAGTTTGTATTTAAAGACTTTCCAGTGCTTGAGTCACTTGCTAGCTCGCTACACATCTGTTGCAAGGTTTAGTCACTTTTGTAATGCTTCGGAGTAAGTGAAGATTCCCCACCCCTCCATTTATTAAAAAAAAAAAAAAAAACCCTAAGCCTGTGGTTTTTCCTGTGATTCATTAAACCAGGATGGCTCATTACCCAAGGCGGCCCTCCCATTTCCAGGGCTGATCTTTTCCTTCCTTTTCCTTTTTCTTTGTATGCAGAGCTTGAACAATATCTTAAGCTCAGATCAAATGTACTTGGAATCAAGTGATAGCCACTTTTCTTTGAAAGATGGAGAAACAGGAAGCAGGATCTGGAATCACAGCTTTTGTGCAATGCTCCTTTTTGCTTACAGCATTAAAACACCCCTGCAAACTGGCGTTATAGGGCAAATAACCCTAATTGTTTCTGATGTTTGGAAGATGTATGGAGGAAAAGGTGCTTTCTTTTGTTGCACGGTAACTTATAAAATGTTCCTACGGAGAATAGAGCTTGCTTATGATCATGKTTTTTTTCATGCTAATTATGTGGTTGCAGCTTAGAACATAGGTGGGAGCAGAAGCCGCCCGTCAGCTCCTCATGAAGCAGTGCTTTGTTGCTGTTGCTTCAAGGCTCTGTTGTTTTCTCCTCCTCCCTTTAGTAAAGCCGAGCTGCGTGAGGCAGCGAGATGCTGGAGAGACCTGGACTGCACATTTCTCGGAGCAACGAGCATAAATGCAACCTCATGCCAACCCTGAACTTCACAAGTTATCTGTGGAATAACTTTTTGAGAGTTAGCTTTCTTTGCCAGAGCAATTTGCTTTCCTGTTTCAGGAAGCCTGCACCGACGTGTGTGGGGTGGTGTTTGGAGAATCACTATCCCTCTTGTCTGCTGGAGGGAAGTGTTTACATTTTCACTGCAGTTTACTGGAACTTCGGCAAGTAATCATTCCAATAAATCCTGGCTTCCGAGTTGCCTTTCAGTTTTAGTCAGACTGGCTCTTTGCGGTCCAAAAGCTGTCCCCAGGAAGGTGCTGATGGTGCTCAGCTCGCGGTGTTGGCGTTCCGGGCACGAAGGCTCTCCGGAGGCGCAGCCGGCGTCTCCCCGTTTCTCCTGCTSCTAGGGATGTGCCGTGGGATGCCCAGAGCCCGGGAGGCTCCTGCTAAGAACGCTGCATTGATGCTGAGAAAGCTGCCGTGGTTGGTTTGGTTTGGTGTGGCTCGCTTTCTGTTTGCATTCGTAAGGATGCCCGGGTGTGTGCAGGCRCGCACGGAGCCGGGCACTCCCCGAAACACAGAGCGTTTGTTTGCGCCAGGTTCGTTGGCTCTAAAAGTGCAGGAAATACCCTCAGAATGTGGCTCTGTAGATCCCAAAGTACCTTCCTAGGGTACCGTTGGAATTAAACTGATTTAAAGCTAATAGCATGTTAGGCCAAGGGCTTTGTTTAAGGGTACTGGGGCTGGCTCCTGCCTTTGGCAGAGGAGAATGTTGTAGGTAATTCCCGCAGAGGAGCGAGAGCTTGCTGCAATGCCTTGCTAAAAATGTAACTGTGCAGAAGAAAACCGAATCAGCTGCATACTGCAGAAAACTATAGGCATGAGTCCTCCTGTAAGGACTGATTGCCATGACTGTGGTGAGTCCAGAAGAGTCAGGCTTGTGTCCTGGGTTTCAAAGGTATCCCTGTCCACAGACAGCCCCATCACAAGCGCCACCAGAGCAGGGCTTTCAATAACGCCCTGGAATGCGAGGGCCTTGCAGGAGCACTCGGTCTTTAGACTGCTTTGCTTCAGCTTAACTCGGTGATTAAAGCTTGTGGAGTTCAGTTGGATCGAGTCGGAGACTCTTGAGAATCTCAGATCTCCTTCCTTCTTGTTTGTCTTCTGTTGAATGGGTGTTTGTTTCCATGTGGATTGTCACCACTGTGATAAAAATGTAAATAGTTTAATACCTAGTTATAAAATTCAGTTTTGCATGTCCCAGAACTTCAAAATAGTCTTTCTAAGAGATGAAAAGTAATAGGATAAGATGACAATATCCTAATAAACAGCTTTCTAACTAGGATGGCCGATTCTGAGCGTTTTTCTTTGAGGGTTTCTCTAGTTCTTGCAAGTCACTGAAAGAAGAGTAATCATTCCTATCTTGTTTCTTGAGAGGCTGCACTCTGTTTAGTCTGGTGGAGAATATTAAGGATTTTGTTAACAAGTTACAGATTTATAGGCTATTGTGAGAGTGAGATGCTTTAATTGCTCAACATGAAATTCTTTGATGGTGACATAGCCAAGAAAACCACACAACTACTCTTCCGCTGAAACATCAGTAAATTATTAAGCCTTTCAGTGAGCAGGAACTGATATTTACCTTCTTTCCTTACTCATAACTCATGGATGAGATAACAAGTAGCTGTGCATGAAGAGGAGCATCAGCTGACATCAGTGCAGCTACTTGTGCTTTTCTCTGTCTTAATACTCTTAAGCAGATAAGGCTAATGCATATTCTGTTAATATTTCTTTATCTCTAAGTGGAAAAGCTGGGCAAGAGAGATACTTCTAGCTGCAAATGACTTTCTTCAGCCAGTTTGCTGGTTTTAGCATATTGAAATGCCCGTTTTATTTTTATATTTCAGGCGCAGCATAGAGATACGTTCATTGAAGAACGCTATGGAAAGTACAATATCAGCGATCCACTAATGGCTCTGCAGAGAGATTTTGAGACCCTGAAAGAGGGAAATCATGGTGAAAAGCAACCTGTCTGCTCCAATCCCTTATCTATTTTGAAAGTGGTGATGAAACATTGCAAGAATATGCAGGAAAGGATGTTATCCCAACTAGCTGCTGCAGAAAGCAGACACAGAAAGGTGGGTTGCTTCAGCTAAGCTGTGCAGAAGAAACATGGTTCCGTTTTGATAAGATGTGAACTTCAAAAGCACTTAAATACCAGGAGAGTTTTAGTGTTTAAAAGGGTTTTGCACCTTTGCTTAAGCTTCTTATCACTCGGTGTGGGTGCTATACCTGCTGTTTCTCCCTGACAAAATGTACACTATGTACTTAAAGGTATTCAGGCAATGTTTGGAACTGTAAACTATAGGAAGACTTGAGGAACTGCCAGATTCATGGTGATCATGTTTTGAGGGAGCCTATAATTCTGGAAATGAGACACCGTAGGGTCTCTTGGGAAGCTCATGTTCTGTCTTTTTTGTTGTTGTTGAATTGATAGAATCTCAATTATTCATGTAATTCAGTGTTAAATCTGAAGGAGCTCCTTGACTGTGTCCTTATGGCAAGCATTTTCATTTCAAGAGTTCATCATCATCTTAAGTGGAAGAACAAATTAAGGTTCTTTAAAATAAACTTTGCACTGCAGTCCTCAAGACACCGAGGAGGGGGGAGTCCATGTGCCAATTACCATTGAAATGGGGGCTAAGGACATCCTGTTAATGCCCCAGGTCGCTGTCCTGTGTTCTGAGGGAGTTTGTCTGCTCCTGGCTTTTATTTATGTGACACCTATACACATAAAAACTGTCCTGCCAGTGAGTTCTGGTAAGGGCACCATATAACCAGCAGCAAATACAAGGAATCCCTCGTAGCTTCTCAAGGCTGTTCTGCAGCCTGGACAAAAACATGCAATTTTGCTACTTCATACTAGAACAAAGATGCACTCGGTGCATTTTTCTAGCCTTGTTTCACAAATGGGCTCCCTACACGAGACAGCGACGTAGCGCTTTGTCCAAGGGCCCCTTCCACGCGCCTTGGAGCTGCCCCCGGTGCCCGCGGGCCATGCACGTCGGTGCCCGCGGCGCAGCCCCCGTGCGCTCATGCGCCTGTTTGTTTGCAAGGTGATCCTGGACCTGGAGGAGGAAAGACAGCGTCACGCCCAGGACACGGCGGAGGGCGACGACGTCACCTACATGCTGGAGAAGGAGAGGGAACGGCTCACACAGCAGGTGAGGGGACAGCGCGGCCAGAGGGGACAGCGCGGCCAGAGGCACCCGGCGCTCCCGGCCGTGCAGGCTGGTCCCGGTGCCTGCTCTAATTGCACCCTGTGCACAGGGAGTGCCGGGGCCGCCGCCTCCAGGTGTTCCTGCTTTTCAACATTTAGATAGGGAAAAGCAGCCTTTATTTTCTACAGTGAGGAAAGCTGTTTGTAGGCACTTGCGTGCTTTGAAAACTTATTTCAGACTGAAAACTGGGATATCCTCGAGAATTGGGCTGTGCTTACAAGTGGTAGAGACTTCTCTGATCCTGAGAAGTCAGGATAAGATGTCAAAGATCCATGGGGTTATTCAGAGACAATAATGAAAAACTAAGCTGCTGTTTTCTGTTGCCCAAGCACTATAGATTTCCATAGCATACATAATGCATCAGCATTTTAAAGTCTAAATACCTTTAAGAAGTGGACTGACAAAAGTGAGTGAGGTGGAAGGAAGCTTTTCTTCACGCAGCCTCTTCAATCAGTGCTTGACAAGTTGGGCCTGTATTGCAGTAAAGGCCAATCAAATTTCATACATGTTAACTAGTAGTAAGTAATTCTTAATACATGTTGACAGATAGGCAGTCTTGTATGATGAGTGGCTCTTACAGATACCTTGGGCAAGAACCTCTCCTTGTGTTAGGCACAGCCATATTTTACTGGGAAATTTCCCCAAGATACATAGTGTAATCCCTTCTGTTTGGGGAGTGTTTTACTTCATTTATTTTCAGAAGATTTTGTTGCTTCTCTCAATCCCTCTTTGTCTTCCAGTTGGAGTTTGAAAAATCCCAAGTGAAGAAGTTTGAAAAGGAGCAGAAGAAGCTGTCCAGCCAGCTGGAAGAGGAGAGGGCCCGCCACAAGCAGCTGTCCTCCATGCTGGTAGTGGAGTGCAAGAAAGCCACTGCCAAAGCAGCTGAAGAGGGGCAGAAGACAGCAGAATTGAGCTTGAAATTGGAGAAAGAGAGGAGCAAGGTGAGTAAACTGGAGGAGGAGCTGGCATCCAAGAGGAAACGGGGCTTACAGATGGAAGCACAAGTAGAAAAGCAGCTGTCAGAGTTTGACATTGAAAGAGAACAGCTGAAAGCCAAGCTGAACAGGGAGGAAAACCGTACCAAAGCCCTGAAAGAAGAGGTGGAATGTTTGAAGAAATCCCTGAAAGAGCTGGAGGCTGCTTGCCAGGAGCACCATGCTGCCGAGCCCGCGCAGCCAGGGCCCTCAACGACGTCCAGGAGCGTCGCAACTGAGAGTCCCACAGTGAGGTCCGTGTCCTGYCAGACCGAGTGTCCGCAGGCAGACAGAGCAGACGCCGCCAGCGCCAGCAGAGCTGCGAGCACCGCGTTTCCCAGCCCCACCACACCTGCTCCCTCCTATGCCAAATCCAAYGGCCATTGCGACTCCGACACGCACGTGGCAGGCGAGCTGCAGCACACGAGCGCAGCAGAGAACCCGGCTCAGAAGGATAAGCCTGGCACCGCCCTGGAGAGTGCAGCTGAGAATGGAAGTTCTCCTGTGAGAACAGAGTCCCCAGTGCACCTGATGTCCCAGCTCCCCTCCTCGCTGTCCCCCAGCAGCACCGCTGCGTCCTCTCTGACCCCCTCTCCGTGCTCCTCGCCCGTGCTGAGCAGGCGCTTGGTGGCAGCTTCCGCAGGCAGCCCYGGTTACCAGTCCTCCTACCAGGTGGGGATCAACCAGCGCTTCCACGCCGCTCGGCACAAGTTTCAGTCGCAGGCCGAACAGGAGCACCAGGCGAGTGGTCTGCAGAGCCCCCCGTCGCGGGATTTGTCTCCGACTCTAGCAGATAACTCTGCTGCCAAGCAGCTCGCCCGCAATACAGTCACTCAGGTGCTTTCCAGATTTACCAGCCAGCAGGGAGCYATTAAACCAGTCTCCCCTAATAGCTCCCCCTTTGGCACGGACTATCGAAACCTGGCCAATGCTGTGAGCCCCAAAAGTGAGTCTGGTCACTCCCCAGGCGCAGGCAAGGTTTCCAGTCCGCTAAGCCCTTTGTCTCCTGGAATCAAATCTCCAACCATTCCCAGAGCAGAAAGAGGGAACCCGCCGCCCATTCCTCCAAAGAAACCTGGCCTTGCTCAGTCACCTGCTGCTCCCGCTCCCGTCACCAAAGCGGCTTCTCAGGCGTCTCCCCTGGGTGCCCCCACGGACGTGGCAAGTAGCTGCTCTAACACCACGGTGGTGTCGAATGGCAAAGACATTGAGATACTCCTGCCAACGAGCAGCTAGTCTCCAGAAAATGTGAATGTGACATTCCACGGCTTAGCATCCTAGCGCTAAGACACTGTTTTTCCACTCCATGTTATTTATTTCCATAGAAGCAGAGTCTGTCTGTATAAAGCATTTAGTATATTTTTCTTTTTTTTAATAGGTAGGGAAATATTTTTGTTTATGAAGAAACCTTAACTACAGCTATACAGTAGCCTCAAGTGTCTCATGGCAGCAGGCAAATCATCAGAGATGACAGGAATCGTAATCATGTGCTGGGACCTAATCCTCAAACTATAGTAGGACTGAAATGCTACTTTTAAATTATGCAGAAACTTGTGCAGACTTTTTATTCCAGATGAACATTTTATTAAAAGTGCCTGAACTAAGCCTGCAATATGAATGTGATTCTCTGGAAAAGGCAAGAAGGGAACCATCTAGCTGCAGAAATGAATTCTTCTGTGAGTCATGAATGTTTAAACCAACACTGGTTTTAATTCTTTCCATTTGTTGAAATGAGTTGGCAAATATGCTACAAGTAAGTTCTGTAAGGTGACCACCAGACTGACACAGCCAGCCACACTTTGCCCTTTAGGACAGAGGTCCTGGATATTTTAGGAGTTTCTTGGTGCAAAATTTAGCCTTAGTACCATCCTCATCAATACTTGGACAAAGAATATTGAGAGAAGTATTTGTTGCTCTGGTAACACGTGTTCTTTGGAAATGACTGTGTGCTTTAAATGGCCAAGTTCTAGCTTCTGGCAGGTCACTTTTAACTTCAAATTGTTCAGGCATTCTACTGTCATGTATAGAACTTCTGAGAAAAGGATCTTGCTATTACTTGATAATGATCTTGCTATTACTTGAAAAGAAAAACCCTTAGTCCGTGTGGTGCAGGTGCTTTGCAAGAGCAAAATGGGCTCTTCTCCAGGAGAAAGCAGTAACTTTGCTGCTCCCCTGTATTGCCCGTGGGATGGACCTGGATCGCTGCAGGACTCGCTGGAGCCTCCTGGCAGCTCCCCCGGGCTGCGGAATYGGCGCCGTCGTCGCTGCCCTGCCTCCTGGGCTACACACGCAGGGAGCTCTGCACACACACACAGCAAATGCACAACGCGGCCAGATCTTAAGCTATTCTCGAGGGTCTCCCTGACATGAAGAAAAGGTGGATTTTATTARGATTGGAGAGAAAAAGAGGTGGTTCCTCAACAGGAAGCTACCTGCAGCTGGAGACGCTTTGTTGTTTTTTCCCCAGTATTTATTAGCCAGAATTGATCCTACGATTGCAGGAAAGATCCCGCAGCGGCCGGAGGGCCCGACAGCACCAGGGGCTGGTGCCGACGCTGCRGCTGTGCTGGAACAGGCGGGATCCCGAGGCCGGGAACACGGCACCGAGCTCGGCAGAAGCAGCAGGGGCTCCTTGGGAAGCACTTTTCCCTCTGGTTTTAGGAATATTTTTTTTATTTTTTTCTCTTGAGGAAAGTAATTCTAAAAATTGAGGAGCAGGTGGATTTTTGCCCCTGTGTCACTTCCCATTTGAGGACGAGGCTTTTGTATACACTGCTTTAACGTGTTTCTTTGCTTTTACACTAACCTAAATGGTATTATCCCCTTTCTTTATCGATAGCTCTATAGAAAGATACTATAATGAAGTTTATTAGGAAATGCACTGAATACTGTTTCTTCTAAAATATAATAGGGGAAGGGGGGATGCAAAAGAATGTATTTTTGCTAGTAGCCTATCTTCTGAGAGAAACTAAGCACAAATATTAAAAAGAACCCAACTAATTCAGTAAGACACGTAGAGTTAGTATTTAACTTTTGCTGTAGGTTCTGTGTGRAAGCAAGTGAATATTTCTTCTATAGTTCACATCTGTTATAAGCAAAAATTGTTGCAGAGTTTGTCACTGGCTAATGGAGTATAATGAAGTGCAAAATGTATACGTTAGTATTAATTCATTAACACTTGTAAATTTGTAAAGCCAAATGTACCAAGCTGGAGTCTTTAATCATTTTTATAGCTGATGGCATTAACCATGTTAAACATTCATATTATCAATAAAGGATTTTATTTTTAAGATGTGCAAATTGCTTAAATGTCTGGAGTTTGGGCCCGGGGCGGCGGGTGCACAGAGGCTCTGTGGTGCGGGGAGCTTCTTGGCCCAGGGAGCACAGAGGAGTCCCGGACMCTTCCAGTTCGGAGCGTTTTTCCGAGGAAAACAACGTGGCTGGAGTTGGAGCGTGGCCGWGGCCTGCTGCTTCCCTGGAGCTGCCGCTCTTCCCAAGCCGCCCGTCCCTCGGGATGCTTCAGTCGTGACCTGCTTTCCTGCTCTCCTGTTTTCCTTATCTGTGCGTGCCGGCCGCCGAACAGGTTCTGCAGCAGCCTGCGAGGAGGAGGCACCGGCCCCACCTGGGAGCGGCGGCCGCTTCCGCGGGCTCCTGCGCAGCCCGGCCCCGCTCTGCGCAGGGAACGGGGCGCGGGCTCGGCCTCAGCCGCCGTCCTCCCGTGCAGCCCGAGCCCCGGGCGCCCCTTGGTCCCGGTTGGTCCCGGCGCGGCGGCCTCGGCGCTCGCTGCGGCTCCTGTGCGCGGAGCAGGAGCCAGCGGGGCCCGGGACCCTGCCCGGCCGCTGCTCCACGCGCCAGGAGCCGGCCAGGCTCTTTCCTTGGGTCCCTGAGCGAAGCTTTGGGGAACCCTGGCTCGTGTGCCCYGTCCCGCTCGAGCCCAGGTCTGGGTCTAGGCCCCGCTTCTGCAGCCCCCCGGCTGAGGCTGGTCCTGGGCCGCCGCAGCGCTCGCTGCGTGTCTGTGCAGGCAATTCCCGCTCGTCCCGGCGCTGCTCCCGCACGGAGCCCGAGCCGCGGGCGGCGGCGGCCCGCGGCCCCCATCGTGCGGCAGGAGCCTGCACGGCACCGGCCGGGGCGCGAGCGCGTCCCGCTCCGCGGAGGCGCTGCCGGCTCCGCGCCCGGCTCTGCTGCAGCTGCAGGGCTGGGCGCCCGGGTGAAGCGGCCGCAGCTTCACCTCGTGCGTTCCCGCTGCTCCCGGTGCTCCTGGCGTTCCTGGTGCTCCCGGCACCAAGCGGTTTCACCTGTGATTTTATCCCTGCCGCAGCATCTGCTACGGGTCGGCCGGGCCCCGTGCGCTGCTTGTTGCGGCCTTGCCATGTCCCACTGGGCTCCTTGCAGACATTACTGGGATCTGCAGCACGGAGACCCAGGAAGAGCACAGATATCCCGGAGCTTTTCCCCTCTGAGTGTTTTTTCTCCTGGGATCTGCTCCCGCCTTCACATTCAGGGCCAGGCCCTAGAGTGACTTTCCAGGCCGGGCTGCAGTGACGGCTCCTGCAACAGGCTGCGAGAGCGGGAAGACTGCAGGAGGTGCCAGGCTGGGAATACGGGCACAGAGGGACAAGGATGGAGGGACACGCACCGTGGGAACGTACAGAGGCACACGGGGGACATGCACAGCAGGACCTGCACGGGAGAACACGCGTGGTGGGAATATGCACTGGAATGCACTTGGTGGGAATGGTGGGAACATGTGCAGTGGGATGCACACAGTGGAGACAGTAGGAATGTGCACAGTGGGACGCACATAGAGGGAATATACGTGATGGGATAGACATGATGGGAGCATGCATGATGGGATGGGCATGGTGGGAACATGCATGGTGGGATGGACAGGGCAGGATGGATATGTTGGGATGGGCATGGTGGGAATGTGCATGGTGGGGTGGACACGTTGGGATGGGCACGGTGATGGGCAAGATGATGGGCATGGTGGGAACGTGCATGGTGGGAGGGACACGTTGGGATGGGCACAGTGATGGGCATGATGATGGGCACGGTGGGACCGTGCATGGCAGGATGGGCATGTTGCATGGAGCCGGGTGCTGCTCGGCACAGCTGCCTCTCGTCGKCGGCGGCTCGCGCCCGGCGGGTGATCCATCTTGTGTCCCGGCGCGCGGGGGGACCCGGCGCGGGCGGCGGGGGGTCGGCGCGGGGGGCGGCCGCGGGCGCCTGTTTGTTTTTGCAGCGCCGGCCGCGTCCCGAGCAGGGCTGGGAACGTCTCCCGTCACCCGCCGGGGCCGGGATCAAMCCGCTGACAAGTTTGGACTAGCGGGCGGCTTGATTAGCTGAGAGATGAAGCCTCGCAGCTCCACGGGGTTTGCACCGTGGCCACCAGCCGGAGCGGCAGCGCGAGGCGGCCCGGCCCCGGCCCCGCCACCAACGGGGCTGCAGGGACCGGGTCCGGCCGATCCGAYGCCCTGCAAGCCCGAGGTCCCGCCTGGAATGCTTTGATCCCGAGCAGTTGGGCTAATGGCCTTAATGAGAGGCGGGCTGGAACGCGGCGGCGCTCGCCCTGCACCGGGCGCGCGGGGCCGGGCACGGCCGGGGCTGCACCGAGCCAAGGGCTGGAGCCGCCCCGCGGGAACCCCGCGCGCCAAGGAAAACTCGCTGTTGACTAAACAATGTTCCCTGCACCAAAACAAGGCCGGGCTTCCTGGAAAACATGAACCGCGAGCCGGGAGGGGCGGCGCGCGGGGAGAGCGGGGCCGCACCTGAGCCTGCTGCGGGGCCGTCCCGCCCGCCGCAAACGGCCCGTCCCGTGTGTCACCACGGGACCCCCACGGCGTGGCACCACGCGCCCGTGACACGGGGACAGGGCCCGGCTGCACGGAGCCCCCGTCCCGCGGCGGCTGGAGCGCCCGGCCGGCTCCGGCTGCAGGGATTTTTCCACCCGGAGGCTGCAGGGCGGAGAGGGCGGCTCAGTCGCGGGAAGGGGGAGATTTCTGATTCACTCTCAGAATTGCCCAAATTTTGCTGCCAAAACGTCTGCATTTTTTCCGTGCTTAAACACAGTGCGTTATGGAAAGCTCCGAACAATGGGATGAGCCTCTCCGTGGGGCCCGGGTCTGGCTGTCACGCACCACAAACCCTCGGCGGTGCATGACAGGCCACAGCCATAAGGGATGAGCAATAGGGGACAAGTGACTGGCACTAGGAGCCCTGGGGATGCACAGGCTGCCCACGTGTTTTGCAGTCACAGAATAAAGCAGATTTGGGATTATTTTGCATCCCTAAGAGCCCCATTGCARCCCGTTGCACGTGCAGCTGCACCGGACACTTGGTTGATGCTCCATGTGGAGGCTGTGCCCGTGTGGCCAGCCAYATCCGTGACTTTTCCATGCACATTCCCACATGCTCGTGTCCCCATGCCTGGGACAACCCATCCTCAATGCGGAGCATGAGGCCACCTGGGTCTCCCAGCACTGAGCAGAGCCCGGAGGTCTGTGCAGAGCCGGGAAGGGCAACGCAAGGAGCCGCCGTGGGAGTCTCCAAGGAGCTGGAGGCTTCTTAAGGCTCTTGTTATTTCCTCTCCATTAGGGGAAAAAAAAMCCCAGAAACCCACACACAAAACTTTGAAAAAAAAGGATGATTAAAAAGAGCCCCGGACCCCCCCGGAGCAGGGCAGCATCATGTGTCTGACATTTGGCTTCTCATCYGCGAGATGCCGGTCTAACAGCTCGGCAGCCAAAGGTTAAGCTTTCCAGTTCCTCTTTTTGATCTGCATCGCTCACATTTTTCCATGTTGTTGGACACAATCAAAAAAAGAAGAAGAAGGAGAAAAATCCCTTTGAATTAGCAGCCGGGAGAGGCTCTAATCGCTCCGGCAGCTCCTCCCCGGCCGCGGCGGCGGGACGGGAGGGCACCGGGGCCGGCGCGGGCTGCAAGAAGCCCCACTCCCTGTGCCACTGCAGAGCTGCAGCCCCCCGAGGCCATACGGCCTTGGGATGGATGGAGACTGCTGGAAAACTGCATCCATGATCCGTGCGCGCCGGAGCCGCGGGTGCCGCCAGGCCCCAACATGCGGCCGGCAGATGCCCCGAGCACCGCGCGAGTCCCGCGGCCGCCGCCACGGGAAGCAGCTCCACAATCCGCAGCTTCCTTATCTGCTCTGGTTCCAATTAAGGAGCGGGGTCGGTTTTTATATGCTGCAATTTGTCTT